TTCTGCTTCTTGCCCTTCCACTTTACCAATTTAACAAAATTCAAGATTCAAGGTCAAAGGGGTTATTTCTGGCCTCATGGACACTATGCAGTGAGACTTTCGGTTCTCCTAGTTTCAAATGTGTCACCCTGCCAGTGCCCAGAACTTTATTAGTATAGTTGGCCAATAAAGAAAATGAACATGGTGTGCCTCAACAAGCACAAGTTAGTCTTGAGAGATCAGAACGATTAGACACAGACTATACCAGGGCAGCAATTAAAGTCAAACTTTTTGAACTCAGTTCTGGCCAGGTTCTGTAGGGGTCACCGTACAGCACAGAAGGACACCCAGGAGTGGCGAAGGTGAGAGGTTCCTAGGCTAGAACTGCTTCTAGCTACAAAAATCAAACTCAGAGAGGGAAAAACCTCAGGCTACAGGACTCACATAAACCAGGCATCCTCTCACCTAGAGGTGGCCATCTCTTCCTTCTCCCCGTTAAAATAACATTAAAATAACAATAGTCAACATTACTATGTGTCAGGCACTAACTATTTTAACAGAAGTAGGCCGCTTGATTATATGCATAACCTAGGAAAATGGACACTGTTATTGTCCCCACATTCTGGATGAGAAAACTAAGATACCAGCAAAATCTAGCCACAGAGCCAGAACCCAGGTTCCTGAGTGTGTGCTCAGCTGCTCCCTGCAGGGCCAAGCTGGGGATCTGGCCAGGACCTGGCAGCTGAAACACGGTAGGGACTGCAGAAGGGATGGTAGACAACCTACAGCCCTGGACATCCTGGAGGGATGCCGCCAACAGAGTAGGGGGTGGCAGCCACTCAGAGAACTCACAACGAAGGACTCCTGGCAGCAGAGTCAGTGTGACTCCTGTCCCATCATCCCTGCAACTCCAGCCGCTGGCAGAGAATCAAGGAATGCAGCAGACAACTGCAGCTTCCCCAGGCCTTTTGCTGACTCGCTGTCTGGCCTACACTCTTTCTACTGATTATATTTCACGTTGAGCAGGTGGGCAAACCATGGCCATCCCAGTTTTCAGACAGTCCCAGAAGGCAAAGATGGAGGCTGGTATGCTGAGAATATATCAGTTGAGGAAGTGTTGCTAGAACTAATTACCTGGTAGTTTCCGAGAGGGATCACAGAGGGACGCTGGACAGCATGATGGACTCTGCTTGCTTTGCAAACTTCCAGAAGGGGAGAAGGGTAATAGGGCTTCTAGGAGTAGCCTAGGCTTGAGCTGACATTACAGAAATGAGAAACAAAAAGCCCTGGGTAGCAGCCTCCCAGACAGGGGATGGGGAGGACTTTGGTACATCCATAGGGCTGTGCAGGGACCTGGATGGCCATGCTGAAGATGGACAAGGGGCCAGTGTGGTGGGGTGGAGAGGACTTCACTATTAGTCTGAGAACCGCTGTGTTCACACACATCTTCATTTTATTTTCTCCATATAAAACTGAAGCCAAAAAAAAAAAAATCCTGATTTTCCTCTATAAGACAAAACCTCCAAAATAGCTATTTTTTTTAGTCCAGCTCCTTTGATAGGAGAATTATGTGCATAGGGATATTTAAATGAGATCTATATCTGGTGAGAACAGCTCTGTGTCTCCAAAGTGTTGCAGCCGCAGCACTCCCGGCGTCCGCAGGCTTGTAGCTAGGCTTCCAAACCCCAGCCCACACCTTGCCCTCCCTCCCACACTGAAGCTGCTGCTTTCCCCAGAACAAATAATACTGTCTTTCTCTAGGCCATGAAAGCATGGTAACATTCCTACATGAAATATCAGCAGTGAGGAGCCTTTGTCGAATTAAACAGGAAGTGGATAATGATCACCTACTGTCTGGGGCATACAAACAGGAGTAAGACTGGTCTCCACCTGCAAAAGAGGCCTGGCGGTCCCAGGAAATCATAGTAAGGGCAGCCCAGGATTCTTGGGTGCTGGCAGAGAAACAGACTCTCCCACATCTCAGGAGTACTTCCCCAAACCCACACTCTCAGTCCCAATCAAATGGGAGCACCCTTGTTCACCCTCGCTCGGGGCTCTGCCTGTGGAATGGCTTTTCTCCTCTCATTCCTCACCTCCATTCAACTCCCACAAACAGGCTTTTGAAACTAGCTAGCGTTTCACAAAAAATAACAATAATGATTGATAATGAAACGAACAATAGTGACCATTGCTCCTTGACAGTGGCTCTCGACCCTGGCTGCTCGGTAGAATCACTTGGGAAGCTTTTGAAAAAGATCAGGTGTCTAGGTCCTACCCGTACCAATCAAGTCGAGGTTTTCTCCAGGTGCTGTCAGGATACCAGGTGCAGAGCCTTGCCAGGGTTTAGGATGTTGAGGGGGGCGGGGACACAAGCGGGATGGGGCTGCCCAGCTTGGGGCATTCTGTGGAGTGATTTCATCTTGGAGCTAGACCAAGGCTGCACACATGTGGCTGGGTCAGACCCCACAGGTCTAAGCAGTTGCTTGTTGAGGAACTGGCTTCTGTGTTACCCTGCAGACTGCAGTGTTGTCTCAAGGGACTCTTCGGTGGGAAGCAGTGTGGCAGGAGAGGCAGAGCAGGCCGGAGGGTCAGCCCTGTGCAGGCGTCCTTTTCAACAGGTCTGGGAACCTGCGAGGGTCCCGGCCCACCCATTTCCAGCCTCCTGGCCTTGCTTCAACAAGTCACGCCTGAGCTGTTTTCTAGGCTGCCTCTCCCTGGAGGTCCTGGGTTTCCCATTTGTCACCTCCGTGAGAGAAATTAACAGTTTTGCCAGACCCCATATAAACAGGAAGGCAAGCTGTTAACAAGAGCCTCCTGCCCTGCTGCCAAGCCCAGAGCTCGATTTCCTTCCTCAGAGCCTGTCAATTGTGAGCAAGAGAAAAGCGAAGAATGGCGCTCTCTGGGTGCTGGATGGGCTCCCTTGCGGCCACTTGCATGTCAGTGTCCGGGCTCGCTGACAGCTGGGTCTGCAGCTGGCTGGCTTTGTCCATATTTTTGAGGGACAGCCAAGGACAGCCACTGATTAAAGCAGGAACAAAGCAAAACTACAGCCGTGGCTGTGCACACCAACGCCGCTGAGCGGCGGAGAACAATTAATTGCTATGTTGTGGAATGTGCGGTTGGGGGCAGGGAGGCAGTCGGAAAATGTAAGAATGTGCAGGGAAATGCCAAGCAAGTGCTTGCGCTCGTTAGGAGCGGCTTGTGTTCTCAGGACCTCCCACAGGTGGCAGGGGCCTGGTCACTGTGCTTTCTGCAGCCTACCCACTTGGGCGGCCTGGCACACTGACGAGCTGCAAAAGGGGCCTATGCTTTGCTCACAAGGCAGAGGGCCTCTCAGCCTTTGGGCTGAGAGATTTATCCATTTACTTGAATGTATGATGGAAAAAAAAAAGGTCATTTCCTGTGTCATGATATGAAAAGGGCTGTCTCCCTACAGATTTGCTGTGAGTTCTATCTAGGCACCATGCAAGCCAGACTCTTTATCTTCTGTAAGTTTTCAACCTAACTCTTACCCAAGAACCAAAGAGGGAGGGTAGTACAGGGTCCCTCAGCGCACTACTACATCACTACCACTAGTTAGAGAAGATGCTAGGTCTCCAGTGATGCAACTGAGAACTGTTTTTGCAGAGACAGCAGTGTGTGTGTGTGTGTGTGTGTGTGTGTGTGTGCGCGTGTAAGCCAGAGAAGCTAAATATACTTACATAATAAAAGTAGAAAAGAAGAGCAAGCATGAATCTAAAGGAGAGTGGCTGTGGGAATTTAGGGGAGTGTCCTTTGACATATCTTTGTAAATGCTAAAGACTAAAATTCCTTTAATGATGCCTTTATTATTTCCTGGACTGCACTTTGGATTTCCTGTGAAGGCTGACCCTCACAGGGACCTGAGATTTACTGAAGTTAATTAAAGACATTATCTACCCTTAGTGCCCCCTCAAAAGGCTGGGCGTGGTGGCGCACGGCTATAATACCAGCACTCGGGAGGCTGAGGCAGGAGGATTGTTGTGAGTTCCAGGCCAGCCTGGGCTACAAAGTGAGCTCAAGGCCAGTCTGAACTGCATAGCGAGACCCTGTCTCAAAAAGACAAAAAAAAAAAGCAAAAAAAAAGCTGAGCCCCAGACAAGCGATTGTGTGCAGGTTGTTTATTTGGGAGGAGATTCCAGGGAGCAGAAGGGAGGGCTGGCAAGGAAGGAGAAGGAAGGAAAGTCAAAGTCAGGTATGTTACAGTGGCTGATACTGCACAACGGGAGATAAGTCCCACTCGGAGCCTTTTAAAGAGTGTGTAAAAACTCTCTCAGGCTTGTCCACCTGCTGACTAGCCAGCAGAGGAATTTGGCCATCAGCTCCCACTGCACTGCTTGAGGGCTGTGTGAATGTGAGGGCTGGGTGGACTCCCCCTAATGTCCATAGCATTGCAGAAAGCCCCAAGTAGAGGTCATAAGGGATATGGCTTGGTCCCAAGAGAAGAGGCTGTGAGGGTGAGGCCAGCACAGACTGCAGTTAGAATCAGAGGCAAGGTCCAGGGTAGGAGGCAGGACAGCAGAGGCCTCTGACCTACTGTCACCAAGAACTTGAACCAGGCTGCTGACTTAACCCATGAAATGGCTGAGGTACAAAGACAGGAAATGTACTGCCTTAGGCAAAGCTGTGGTAGAGGGAAGTACAGGGCCTCCTACCTTCCTTTATGTGCCTTTTCCTACCTTGAGGGATCCCCTGCCCCCAAGCCCCCAGAACGCTCTATATTACACTGCTCCCTCTCCATGGTCCTACATACCCCCACCAACTGCCGTTAAACTTCCCAGTCCTTACTGGGAGGATCTCTACTTACTATTACACACCAATAAGGTAGTTAAACTGTCTCATATGGTTGTAACTTGGGCCCAAATAAATTTTTTTTTTTTTTTTTTTTTTTGTTGTTTTTTTTTTGTTTTTTTTTTTTTTTTTTTTTTTGCGGTACTGCGGATCAAACTCAGGACCTTGTGCTTGCCAGGCAGGTGCTTGTACCACTGAGCTATATCCCCAGCCCTCCAAATAAATTTTGACAGAATTTCAGGTGGTCAGGCCCAGGGCAGAGCAATGTGTAAACAGAGCTGGGAGGAGGGTCTCAGAGCCAGTGAGCTGAGGGGTGCCTTGATAGATACCCAAACTGAACTCACATAACAGGATGAGAATATTTCCTTTCTTAGCTAGTGTTGCCTGTTATGAATTCCCTTCAGCTCGGAAGAGAGCAACATGTACTGCCTTGTGGCTTCCTGTGTAGAAAGGGCAGGAATGAGGAAGTCCAGGAACACAGTCCTGGGAAGCTGCTCTAGAGGCCCAGCCAAGTCTCCAAGTGCAGAAAAGCACATAGCACGAAATTCCCATCCCTCGCCTCTACAGGTGAGACAGATATGCTGACTCCTTGAATGTAAGCGGATTTTAACTGGACTCGAAAGGATTCCCGTTTGATTTAAGCACTTGTACTGCCCCTCTTGGCCCAAGTGTCCTCTGACCTCTTACATGGGCTTTGCCGCTGACCCTGGGCAAGTGCGAGCCGGTGCCGGACTGATAATAGAAGCTGGCCCCATTTGTTTCCTCTACTGTGCCTCTGGCAGGGGAGTTAAAATGTGGTTAGTTCTGTGGGCTTTTAATTTTTTTTGCTTTCTTTATTTAAAAAAATATTTTGAAGGTAGCCTTAACTGTTAGCTGGAGGTTTATTCTAATTTGAGCTTCCCTTAAAACAATTCCCAAAAGGTCTTCACCAAAGGAAGCCTAAAGAGGAGGCTGGGGGGAGACGTTTAGAAAGTGGGCTCTGAGAGTAGGACCACTTAAAGGTAGAGAGGTGCGAGTGTGCGCTTCTGTGTGCGGGAGACAGGGAGTTGAGCTTTCACGGTGGGGGCTGGCTGGGGAGTCTCTGTAAGGCTGTCGTCTTTGTCTAATGCTGGAGTTTGAAGGCCTCAGAGAAAATAGTTGGAAACGCATGGGGAGTAGAGAACAAGGTCAAGCTAGACCTCACCAGCATGAGGCAGAATCTGGGACAAAACCAGTGTTGGTTCCCGCTGCCTCTGACTTGATGGTGTGACCGTCCTTCAGGAAAAGCTGCCAGCTCCCCGACCCGCACCCCTTGCAAAGGAACTAAACCCACATCTGGCTGGGAAGCTGGAGAAGCTGAAGAGGAATCCAGGGAAAGGTAGAACTGTCATAGGTTTGCCTGTTGCCCTACAACCGATAAGGTGAACCACCAGGTAAGTGACTTCCTTTGTAAGCTGAAAAAAAGCTGCCGCTTCACGTTCACCTTCTGAATCTCACACAGACGACCAACCAGAAACGCACAGGAGGGGGAGTTCTGGGAAATGTAGTTCACCCTAGCTGAATGGACGCATTTCAAAGCTACCACACCTTGAGCAAAATAATAGTAAATCACTGTTTGGCAAAATATGAGCTACCATCATTTGAGTAATGTACTAGATGCATTAGTAAGTTATTTAATCTCATAATAGTTCTATGAGAAAAGCATTCTATCCTCATTTTACAGGTGAAGAAACCAAGACTGAAAAGTTGCAATGAGCATGTTGTTATCACCATGCAGCAGCCAACATCTCTCTTCCTGTGGGGAACTCATTCACTCATTTGGATTAAACAGCTTACTCTTAGTTAAAGGAACAAATATGTACCCAGGCTTGGTCAGTCAGGGCACACTATTGTCTTGGACACAATGACGGGTACATAAATAGGCACTGAATCATTCTGAAACTGGACCACTCAAAAACTTCCAGGAACTTTTCTACCAGGGAACTTGTGCTTTTTATTTTCTGGGGTGGTCAAGTTAAGTAGAAGTTTTCTGGTGCTCATCTTACCTATAGAACAGGCTTGTCCGAAGGGTAGAAACATATTTGAACCCCTAGATTGTACCAACCCTAAAGGTTACTATATTCTTAAAGCATCCAGGTTACATGAACTTGCAGACTTCCTTGTTGATAAGCTAGTTTTGGTTGGGGTTTTGTCAGTTCCCGTGAAGAGAGATTAATACATTTATGTCACAAAAGCAGAGAAAAGCCTAAAATGTAGAGATACCATGCTATGCTGTGCAGAGTTAGTAGGCACATCTGAGGTTAAGGCAGGCTCTGTCTCTGTAGCTTCTTACTGAAGATAGAATGAGCAGCTTGAAGGAAAGCTTGAAGGGAGCTTTCCTAATTCCTTTTGGAAATATACAAGGCTGTGAGTGAAGCATAAAGCTGAGGCTGTGATTTGGGATTATGCAATACAGCACATCTTTTTAACAAACACAACAGAAACCTCTGGGATCAAAGCCGCAATCCTTATTTGTGCACACCATTTGCAAACCCTATGTGTAGGACTCGAGCAGATCAGAAGCCAGGCATGGTGGTACATGCTTGTAATCTCAGCACTCTGGGAGTCTGAGGCAGGAGGACCACAAGTTTGAGCCTAGACTGGACAAGTTGGTAATTTAGCCAAACCTGCCTCAAAATATATATAAATACATAAGTAAATAAAAGAAATAAAATAAAATTTTAAAAAGGGGGCTGGGAATGCAGCTCAGGGTGAAGATGCTGGGTTCAATTCCTAGTAGGGCAAAATTTAAATTAAGTAATTAGTTAATGAATTAATTAAAATAATTGATGATTAGGGCCAAGTTCTAGTCAACATCCCAAGACTAAAAATCCTAGATATCAAGATGCTACCCTAATTTTAAATCTTTGCCAACATATGAATTTGCCAGTGTTCCTTCACATTTTAACCATTTTAATGCCCAGGTAGTAAAATGCAAACACTTGCTGAAGGTTGACTTTGGAGATGCCAACAGTGATGACTGGTTCTTTGCTCTCATTCTCAGGCACACAGAACTGCATTCGTCTCCAGGCTCAGCTTCCGCACCCGTCCGAGCAGCTCTGCCATCCCAGTCCCTCCCTCCGAAGTGGGCGCCTTGGTGTCATTTCAAGTAGATTTGCTTGGAACTAACCTTCCAAAGTTAATGTTTAATTTTAAAAACTGCACTTTTAAAAATTTCCATTTTGGTAAGCAGACCAGATGCTTTGCCAAATTTACCCTCAGCTAATTGCATAGTTCAATGTCCTGAAATGTGCCCTTGTTTGCTTAAAACCTGCTGATCTGCAAAAGAAATTGTTCCAGGAATGTGGGTCAGAGTGGCCGCTCCTGTGGAAGCTGAATGGACCAAGAACGAGCCATGCAGGCCTGGCTGAGCACCGGCTGCTTATAAATCTGCAGGAATAGAGGACTCTCCAGGGCAGGATTTTCACTCTATTGATAAGGCCGCTGGAGGTGGGGGAGAGCTAGAGCCTGGAGACATGGGCGAAAATCAGTTTGGCTCAGATTCACCTTTGGAACCCCTTTAAGCCTTTCATCTCGAGCAGGCTTTGGGTCAAGATTGAAGTAAAATGTTAATGCACAGCTGGAGGAAAATAATTTTGAAATCTGGCATTTACTCAGCCTCTGTCCCTGGAGGCCCTCTGACGAGATGCATGTGAAGTAGGAACGATATTCTAGCAAGAACAGAATAAAGTCGAAGCTGCTTGGTTATTCTTTCTCGCATGTGAGTCTGGAACCTGAGGTCAGAGGTGCTCCTTTACGTGGCCACAGGCTGATATCCTTGGTCAGTTCCAGCCCCCGCCACCAGGGGAGTGAGCTGAGAGCAGCCTGGAAAGGGTACAAGGGAACCCAGAGGTGCTCCAGCAGTGAGGGGGATGCAAGGTCTGCCCACCTCCGTGACAGTGTGGGAAGTTCCTATTGAACACGTGGGGCAGTGGTGTCTCTGTCATTTTCAGCACTGGCCTCTATTCTGGGCACGGGGGTTGGGAGTGGGGGTGAAGAGGGGTGGCAGAGAAAGCTGTAGTCTGAGCCAGACTGCTCTGGCTGGCTTGCTGGCTCCTGCCAACCCGCCATCGGCCCATCTTCCTCCTGTCCTTCTCTCGCTTTGCTGATCTTCAAGGCAGATACTCGGGAAGCTGCTCACTGTATTTCACTCAGCTCTCCTCAGTACAGCTGTAATCCTTTCTGGAGCTCTGGGGAGGAAATTGCTTTCTCGCTGTTTGCAGCTTCTACAGTTGCCACACTACTTGTGTTGTGGCCTCTTCCATCTTCAAAGCCAGCCATCGCTGGTCAGGTCTTCATCTCACCACTCTTCAGCCTCTCTCTTCCTCTTTTAAGGCTCCTTGTGATTACCCTAGGTCTGCCTGGATGACCAGTATACTCTCCTTTCAAAGTTAGCTGCCTGGCAAACTTATTTCCATCTGCAGATTTCATTCCTGTTTGCCGTGCAATTTAACATAGTCACAGGGCCTGGGGATCAGGATGTGGACATCTACGGGGATCATTATTCTGCCCACCCTGATGATAAATCCTCATCTTTTTCAAAGCCTTTTTACAGAGCTCATTTGACCTTAAAAATGTCTATGAGATAGGTGAGCAGGTAGTATGTCTCCTTTAATGTAGCAGGAAGCTAAGCTAGGAGTCAAAAAACAAAACAAAAACAAACCTCGCACAGGTACTACTCTGTATATTGGAAATCAATGAAGGGATGAAGTCAAAACACAAGCCATAGGATTCAGTTTATTTCAAGATATTTCCTCTAGATGACAGTTAAAGAGGAGTGGCATGGGGGAAGTATGGGCTGGTGTCAGTTGTCAGCCTGGGTCTAGGTTTTGTGCTCACACAAACTTGGTCTGGCCATGTTGTTCCCTTTTCTGAGTCTGACTCGTTTTTTTGCCTTCCAGAGAGGCTTTGAAAGTGACCAAGATGACAGTCTTAAGATAGGAGCTATAGTGGAAGGGTATGATCTAAATGCAAAGTTACTTGTATTTATTAAAATCAATTCCACAGCCAGGCATGGTGGCATACACCTGTAATGTCGGGACCAGGAGGCTGAGGCAGGAGGATCACCACAAGTTCAAGGCCAGCCTGGGCTACATAGTGAGTTCAAGGCCAGCCTGGTTACAGAGTGAGACCCTGATTAAAAAAAAAAATCAATTCCACAGAATGAGGCTGGGTGGAAAGTAAAAAAGCCTTGGCCTGATACTGACTTTATTGAATTTTCCCTGGAGGAGGAATAGATTACTTACAACAAATAATTAACATGTAGACATGTATTTTAAAATAAAGATATTTTTGAAAAAAATTACAAAATCCACGATGCTCAGGACACTTGTGAAAGAAGTCCTGACTGCCACTGCATGGCAACAATTCAGACACACAGGACCCAACTGTGGTTCTCCCAACAAACTCAGTTTCCTCTGTAGTTGGACAAGGGATCTCTGAAACTAGATTCTGAATTTCGTGAAATCAAGAAAGAAACAAAATCCTCAACCTACTGAGAGGCTGGATTTAAAAAGATTTCCACTGAATTCCTGTTTACAAACATTCTCTGTTTTATGCCGGTGTTTTCTGTTTGTTTGGTTTGGTTTGTTGAGTGGAATTAAAGACTTCCTCAACCTTTACTTCTCTTTTTTTTTTTTTTTTTTTTTTTTTTTTTTGGTTTTTCTCCGATACCGGGAACTGAACTCACGACCTTACACTTGCCAGGCAGGCGCTTTTGCCGCTGAGCTAAATCCCCAGCCCCCAACCTTTACTTCTCTGCTCAGGAACCAGACCCTAAAACAACAAAACAGGACACACACACACACACACACACACACACAGATAAACATTTTTTTTTGTCTTTTTGAGACAGAGTCTTGCTGTGCAGTTCAAGCTGGCCTCGAACTCACAGCAATCCTCCTGCCTCAGACACCTAAGGGCTGGGATTACAGGTGTGCGCCACCATGCCCGGCAAAAACATCTTATTAGGGTACTTGGTTTTCTTTTATAATGTTTTGTTTTGTTTGAGGTAGGGTCTCACTGTGTGCAGTGCAGGCTGGCCTTGAATTTGCTTATGTAGCCCAGGCTGACCTGGAACTCACTGGGATCCTCCTGAGGGCTACTGAGCCTGAGTGCTCCCCTGCCTCCAAGTGCTGGGATTACAGGCACGCGCCACCACCCCTGGCCTCTTGGTTCCCTTTTAGTCAATAATGGCGGGGGGGGGGGGAACTCTTAAGGAATTAAACTTGAAAACAACAGAGCTTTCCATAGACACCTTTACCAGGTAGCTTAAAATTGGGGCATGTACCACATATCCCCCCTGAGGCTTGAAAATGGTAAGGTACCCTGGAGGGGAGCAAGCATCTCCGAAAGCAATTATGATGAAACATGCCAAAGTTGGGCTTTCCCCCAGATCGAGTGGTGACTTTGATTCTTCCTCTTCCAGCACCAAAGCACTGCTGTTTTAAATAGTTCAAATGACAAGAGAAGGAATATTTTCATTGGACAGTTCCAACACTGTTTCCAGCATATTTTCCACTTGTCTGACTTTGCTCTTGGCCGTGAATGGAGTAGGAGGTGGAGTTTTCTCTGCTGAAATCATAAAAATCTCTTCACTGGCATGTGTGCATTCAGATTTGCTCTTGATGTGGCTCATGTTATTAACTGCAGCTGGGTTTGTTGGGAACAAGTGTTTTTGTCTCTGGTGAGGATCACATGTTAACTTGTGATTGCTTGAACCCTGCAACTGGAATGGATGTTTTATTTCTGTATTTTTATTGTGTTTTTTTCACTCTTCAATCCATATGCTGGCTTGGGCTTGTTTGCAAAAGGAAGAGATATTTGGCTTATTCCATGTCATGCAGTGAAGGCAGGAGCTTACTGAGGGCTCAGGAGCTGTTTTTATAATCTAGGGACCTGTTTTTATAACCTAGCAGACTAAAGTTTTCAAAACAAATTTGGCATGCCTTAGGTGTTACAAAAATTTTGTGTGACAAGCACTCAAAAAGGACAGCTCGAGTACACTTGCACTTCAGTCTTAATTCTAATAAAAGCGCAAATCAAAAGAAGAATTAAAAAATAAGAAGAATTAAGACATATTACATATAGGTACACATTCCCTATGATGAACTGATCCTTATGTATGGCAAATGTGTACTAGCAAAATAAAATTTTAAAAGACTAGTAAAAAAATACACAAATCAGAAAGCAAAAACTAAAGCAATACAAACCAAAACCCTTGCATCAAACTATTACCCTAAGCCTATATACTGGAGCTCCACATTCTTTGCAACCATGAAATCCAGAATCAGTGAGTTCCTTATTGTTTATGTAGGGCCAAAGATTGATTTCAGGAAATATTTGTCTGACACTTTAAAAATTCTTATTATAAATATTGGTTCATAAATGCTGAGGCCAATCTGGCAAATTCTGATATTGTAAAGATTACAGTGTAGAAATATCATGAGTCATAGATTCATAGAGCTGTAAAGTGTTCAAAAAGATAGGACGGTGGTATTCTTTTTTTTATTTAAACAGTCCCATAGACTGACCCTTTTTGTCCTTTGTCTCCTCTGTATGAGTTCTTAGTTTGTACTTCATCAATTTGCATTTGCAGGAATTTTGCTTTATAAAAACTAGCTTTCAGACTTCTTCCAAGGGAGAGGGAGAGGAAGAGTGAGTATGCCAAGCTGCCTTCAAAGCCCAGCTGCTTCCAGGGTCCAGCAGTGGGCTCATGTGCTGGACCCTTTTGCTATTTGGAATGGGAGAGCCCAAAGGTCTCCCCACCATGCACCCCTTTATTATTTTTGTCCTACACCTCTTGTTTGAAAGGTACTATTAGACTCTAAGTCTTTTGGGTGCAGGAAAAGCATCTTTCTCATCCTAGAATTTTCTGTGCCTGCCAAATCATAGGACTTCAATTAATTTGTAGAACAGAACTGTATGGAAAAAGCCTTGCAATCAGACCTCAATTTGAATCCCGGTTCTGCCATTTATCAGCTATATAATCTTGGTTAACTTATTAGATCTCTCTGATATTCAGTTTTTCTGATTTTTCAAAATGGAAAATGGTATTATAATTATATATTTATTTAATAATTACACAATTGCTGTCGTGCACTCCATGAGGATGCTTCCGTCAGTGATGGACGGCACGTACAGCAGTGGCCCCGGGGATTGTGGCATTGCTTGGTGATGTCATCGCTCTTAGTTTTTGTGAGCTCATTCTGTGATGTTTGCATGATGACGAAGCTGCGTTTCTCAGAATGTATCTTCTCACACTAACTTGCAGGAGTACAGAGGACAGCACATGAACGCAGTTTGCATTTCACAAGGACCTACTTCCAGCAAGCGGCACCCCTTTTACTTAGTGTACCAAAGGGGTTTCCCATTAAAATATTAATCAAACACACATCTCTTTAACTCCATGTCTGTTCTGATCAACATGAAATGACTGAGGACAATGTTCTGATTTAGTGGAACTCCAAACTAAAGCAAATAACTCAGATTTTTGCGTTTGCTTGTTTAGCGTTCCCGCAGGTAAGTGCATTGTGAGATTTTCATTTTTTTTTTTTTAAACAATGACAGTAGATTGTGGACCCCTCCTCAACTGTCCTTTACCTCTAGAGATCTGGGGATCCACGGCTGAGAAACAAGGTCGATATTCCTGTTTTCGTTTCTAGGTTGGATAGGCCAAAATCAACCTAGATGATATTTGGAGCCTTTGTCTGGGGAGAGGGCCCACTGGGCAGTGAAAAGTTTGTTCGAGCCGCAGGGCAATAGGTTTCCATTCTTCCACTGACGTGCCCTGAGACTGTTCCTACCTTTCCTGAATCCCAGTTTTAGCTTCAGTAAAATAGGAATAGTATCTGCTTTGTAGAGTTGTCATTAGAATTGGATGAGATATTGATAAAGCCCCAGCACAGCATCTGGTACATAGCAGGCGTCCAATTAAATGATGGCTGTTATTTATATTAGTCTGGGGATTCTAGCCAAATTTGAAAATTTACGCTTAGTGAAAGAGTGGTAACTGGTTTTAAAATTAGGATTATTTTTCATGCCACAAAGATTTTGGATATAAGTAAATGTGGTGTTTCTATTCTGTGGGGAGTTTTTTTTTTTTTTTTTTTTTTTTTAAGGAACTACTCTGTATTGAGAAGAGGAGGCAGGAGCGCTGAGTTCTAAGAGCCTGCTTATTCCTTCATTTGTGCATCCAATCAAGCTGGTCTCCAGTGTCCACTCCATTAGGCGGATAAGCACTGTCTTACACACGAGGGCCACGTCCTGCACCAACACCTCATTTCCGTCTTTTGAAGCTTCAGCTTGCCGAGCACCCTCTGCAGTGTCAACTTGATCTCCAAATGGACCACGTAAGTACGTGTGGGAGGAGGATATGTGTGTGTACATGCATGTGTGTACATGGGTTTAACATGTTAGCCTTATGAGATTCTTCTGAAATATGATTATATGATCCATCAAATTATCTACCCTTCTCAAGCTCTGTATCATTTTCAAATATGGCAAAAATACCTTTAAATTGTTTAAATATAGTTATAAGTGGCACCTCAGTTTACGAACTTGTTTTATGATTTTGGGGAAGATGGCTGTATTTGTGTTTGTGTTTGTGCAGGGAAGGAAGATGGCCACGGTCCTGTTTGTCACCTGAGGTGCAGTTTGTGAAGGGAAGCAAAATTTTGCCAAGCACATTTGTTTACAAACCAAATGGTTTGCAAACAGAAGTGTTCATGAACTGAGGCATTATTAATACTGCCTACAGCATAAAGTTCAAACTCCTTATTATATTGTATAAAAATTGATAATATTCTGATGCCTCTTTTCAGTTTATCTGAATTCCTCCTCCTCTACATATCTTATATTTTAATGACACCAAACTACTTTTGGTTGTATTTTTTTTTTTTTTGGTTTTGGTTTTTCTCCGGTACCGGGAACCGAACTCACGACCTTGCGCTTGCGAGGCAGGCGCTTTTGCCGCTGAGCTAAATCCCCAGCCCCTACTTTTGGTTGTATTGAGGCCTGTATTTTCAAGTCAGT